AGGGTTCCACCCCACTGGACAGGTCGTGATCCTGAGCCACCGTGCGCTTGCTTCTCATCTTCCCTTAATTCCTGCTGTCCTTCCAAGCTAAGACTCCTTTTCCCCACTTGAGAAAGTCCTGTTCATGCTTCAGTACCCAGGTCAGGTGCCACTCTCCTCCATAACAAACCCCTTCCCCAGTTCCTAGGCAGAATTAACCGCTTTCCATAGTACATCATGCACACTTCTGTTAAGTCAGTATCAGGGCAAGGTTTTGCTTTGTTTGTCTGTCTCTCCCAGGGTCTTGACACAGGAGGGGCAGGCCACATGGGTAAAGTCCCCAAGGACAGAAACTAAGTCAGAGTCATCCTCCCATCCCCATTCCCAGCCCAGTGTCCAGCATATTCTGTCAATACGTGTCAGTTAAACGGAGACAGGACGTTGTCATTATCAAGAGAATAACCGTGCTTCTGTAGGCTGAGTAATACTTAAAGCTCATTGTTTATTTCTAGATATTTATAATTCAGCAGCTTATACTTTATAGAGACGATGTGGACAGGACACTTAAAGACAATTTAAGCACACAGGTGGCATGGTCGTGAGAGCAGTCAGTAATTTCAGTCTTCCCATAAAGTTGTACATGGTGTATTTTGAGATAAATGTTTTGAGTCTTTAAGGACAATTAGATAGCAAAGTAGATTAAATAATGCTTGAAGAACAAGAAGAGAAACTGATCAAGATGTTAATGCAGTGATCAGCCAGGAAAATTAGCCCCTCGAGACCCAAGCACCCTTAACATGGGCAGAAACGGGATCAGAGCAGTTTTCCCTGGAAGAGCCTTGCCTAGCCGTCTCAGGCGTCTCAGGCGGTACAGCAGCCAGCTGTGCAGAAGCAGCAGAGCGGCCTCCACAAGGAATCCACCACACTCCTGGCTGTGAGTGACAACAGCTCACGTCGGGCAGTGTTTATGGGGTGCCTCCTGCTTTTTGTGTATTACTTCAGTTAGTCCTCACAGTGACTGTGTTCAGTGTGTAATTATCCTTGGTTTGCAGATGCAACAGCGGAGGCTGGGAGAGGTTTTCACTTCCTA